ACACTTACTTTCATTAATGGATATTAAATGTTGAATGTTTTCCAATGTGATTTTCTTTTATTAATTGAATTTTGTTTTCCTTATATAAGTGGTAAGTGTTGTTTGTTTTTGTATAATATTAGCATTTTTTGCATTACTCACTTAAGCAAATCTTAATTCGCTACATTTTGGTTATTGTGATTTAAGCGAATCTCATTTCACTTAAGCAAATATGAGATCACTTAAGCAAATGACAGGCCTCAAATCCATCGCGTAATGTCCTAAATTTGTTTAATTTTAATTATTTTTACTTAAGACACTTTAAGCAAGGGAGGTCTCACTTAAGTGAAATAACCTTAAGATTTGTTCTATCTCACTTAAGCGAAGTTCACACTTTATCAAGCTAATTTTTGTTCACTTAAATATTGTTTTAGTTGTTTAAGTAAATTTTACTTATTTTTGTTAAAGCGAGCAAAATTTCGTTTGAGAAAAAATGCACTGCATGCTATAGTTTGTACTAAACTCATTGTAGATGAATAAAGAGATTAACAGGTGTGTCATAACGAAAACATCTGACTAATTTCAAAAGAGAACGTCTCGTTATAGATATAAAGTGTTTGACTCTAAGGAAGAAGAAAGATCAGAAGAAAATGTCCCACTATAAGCAAGCAAGAAATTCAAGATAAAATGATGGGATGCAGAAACCTATGGATTTGACTCCTGTACGTCAACAGATAAACCATTGATCCTAACCCAACACAATGATCAAATTAAAATATGCAATGGTAATACAGTAATGCCAAATGCTATGTTCATGAAAAACTAAAGCCGACGAGCATTTTCTGTTTAGATTAATTGTTGTTTTGGGAAAAGCTATGCACCGTGTCGACAAAGAACATAGAGGAGGGTGACAAGGACAACATTAGAAAACAAACGAGGCTTGTTTTTATGATTATATTAGGGAACGTGATTGAACAATTATTCTGAAACAATGCTAATGCCACGCGTACAGCAAAAGTTACCGATGCCAATCATCGCATATTATTTGGCATATGGATCCATGGACCGACCAAAGAATCACGTTTACTTGAACAAAAGTTGAAGTCACCATGCATGCTTTGATAGAAGTCCCACATCGGTGGGTACTCATATTTTTGGACCTCCTTTGGCTTATAAAAGGAGGCTTAAGGGTCCATTAACAATCATCCCAAAAAATCCTCTCTCCTACTAATTTTGTATTACACCGAACTTGTACTTGGTAGTAGTAGTCTCTTATATTAAGGAGTAAATTTTATAGTGAGAAGTGGTGTAATTTTTTCTTCAGAAAATTTTTTTTTTATTGTCTTTATTGGCTCTTATTTTTCATTTCTTATTTTAGTTGTGTGTTATTATACTGGTACTATGGTCTTAACAGTGGTATCAGAGCTTCTAGGTTATTTATATTATTCCACTGTAGTGTACATTGGTATAGTGCTAGAGGAAATTCTTAGTATGCTCTATGGTTGCAGTATTATTTGATCTGCCACATCAGAAAAGAATCATTCTTGTTACTGGGTATACAATTTTGGTAGTGTAAAAGTGCATATATAGTGTGTACTTATTCACAGTCTACCATTATTACTGTTCCAATAGGTAGTACTATTCACAATGAAAGTTACATAAGTCGGTATAATTAAGAGAGAAATTATGGCAGCAAAATATGAGATAGAGAAATTTCATGGGAGTAATTTCTCCTTGTGGAAATTGAAGATAAGAGCAATTTTTAGGAAAGACAATTGTCTTGATGCAATTGAAGGCAAACCCGCAAATATTTCAGAAGAAAAATGGATAACAATGCTGTTGCCAATTTGCACTTAGCATTGGCAGATTCAGTGTTATCCAGTATTGCAGAAAAGAAGACTGCAAAGGAGATTTGGGAAACATTGATCAAGTTGTACGAGGTCAAGTCACTTCACACCAGAATATTCTTGAAGAGGAAACTCTACACTCTTCGAATGAGTGAGTTCACATCAGTAACGGACCACATCAACAATCTGAATACGCTGTTTGCTCAGCTTACAGCCGCAAATTTCAGCATAGTAGAAAATGAACGTGCGGAGCTTTTACTCCAGAGTTTACCAGATTCATATGATCAACTCATCATCAATATAACAAACAACAACATTATCGGTCGTCTATCCTTTGATGATGTTGTTGGAGCAGTTCTTGAAGAAGAATCCAGGCGAAAGAATAAGGAAGATAGACTGAAAAATTCTAAACAAGCAGAAGCATTGACGATGATGAGAGGAAGATCAATGGAACGTGGTTCCAGTGGGAGCCAGAATCATGGTAGATGAAAATCTCAGAGAAGGAAGAACCTTAAATGCTACAACTGTGGCAAGAGAGGGCACGTGAAGAAAGATTATTGGAACAAGAAGAGTGGAGGAGGGAAGAATATTGAAGCATCAACCTCTCAAGGTTATGTTGCAAGTACCTCAGATGATGGTGAAATCTTATATAGTGAAGCAGTAAATTCTAGAGGTGGAAGACAACTCCATGAATGTTGGATATTGGATTCAGGTGCAACCTAGCACATGACTCCATGTCGAGACTGGTTTTACAATTATGAACCTATCTCGGGAGGATCCGTGTTCATGGGAAATGATCATGCCCTAGAAATTGCTGGAATTTGTACTGTCAAATTGAAAATGCATTATGGTATTGTTCGTACAATTCAAGGAGTACGACATGTGAAGGGCTTAAAAAAGAATCTATTGTCTGTTGGGCAATTGGATGACCTCAATTGCAAGATCCACATTGAAGATGGAATCTTGAAAGTGGTTAAAGGCAACCTGGTGGTGATGAAAGCAGAAAAGCTCACAAACAATTTATACATACTTTTGGGAGATACGTTACAAGAAGTAGATACATCAGTTGCAATTAGTCAAGAAGAAGAAACAATGATGTGGCATCATAAACTTAGTCATATGTCAGAACGAGGCCTGAAAATTCTAGCAGAACGTAATCTCTTACCAGGGCTCAAAATGGTAACCTTACCATTTTGTGAGCACTATGTGACAAGTAAGCAGCATAGATTGAAGTTTGCCAAAGTGACTACAAGAAGTAGACACATACTGGACTTGATTCACTCTGATGTATGGGAATCACCAGAAGTATCTATTGGAGGAGCAAAATATTTTGTATCATTCATTGATGATCACTCAAGGAGATTGTGGGTGTACCCAATCAAGAAGAAGTCAGATGTGTTTCCAGTGTTCAAGAAATTCAAAGCACTAGTAGAACTTGAAACTAGGAAAAGAATTAAGTGCTTAAGGACAGACAATGGAGGAGAATATGTAGATGGTGATTTTCTGGCATTTTGCAAGCAAGAGGGTATTTCAAGGCAATTCAGAGTGCCTTATACACCTCAGCAGAATGGTGTAACAGAGCGGATGAACAGAACTCTTCTAGAAAGAATAAGAGCTATGCTAAGAATAACAGGAGTGGCCAAATCTTTCTGGGCAGAAGCAGTGAAAACTGCCTGTTACGTGATAAACCGATCACCATCCACAACAATTGGTTTGAAGACACCAATGGAGGTATGGAATGGAAAGCCACCTAATTACTCTTCATTACATGTGTTTGGATGTCCTGTGTACGTGATGTACAATTCTCAAGAAAGAACAAAACTGGATCCAAAATCCAGGAAATGTATATTCTTGGGTTATGCTGACAATGTTAAGGGGTATCGCTTGTGGGATCCCACTACCCACAAGCTTGTTGTTAGTAAAGATGTAGTCTTTGCAGAAAATGAACTGCAAAAGAAGCAGAAAAATGACAGTACTACAAAAGACACTACTTCAGTAGTGATAGAAAGGAAGTCTAAAGAATATGACACCTCTGAAGCAGAACAAGAGCATGGAGAACAAGAACCAAATGATGTCAATGATGGAGAAGCTCAACAAACAAAACATGAGATAAGGAGACCATCTTGGCACTCAAACTATGTTATGACAAGCCATGATGCATATTGTCTTCTAAATGAAGAGGGTGAACCATCAACCTTTCATGAGGCTTTGAGGAGTTCAGATGCTTCATTATGGATGACAGCAATGCAGGAAGAAATTAAGGCCTTACATAAAAACAAGACATGGGAACTTGTTGATCTTCCAAAAGATCGAAAAGCCATTGGTTGTAAATGGGTCTACAAAATCAAACGAGATGGTAATGATCAAGTGGAGAGGTATCGTGCAAGATTAGTGGTTAAAGGATATGCTCAGAAAGAAGGCATTGATTTCAACAAGATATTCTCTCTAGTAGTCCGATTAACTACAATCAGAATTGTTCTGGCAATATATGCTGCATTTGATTTACATCTTAAGCAACTTGATGTAAAGACTGCTTTTCTCCATGGAGAACTTGAAGAAGAAATATATATGCTCCAACCAGAAGGTTTTGAAGAACAAGGAAAGGAAGACTTGGTTTGCAGATTGACCAAATCTCTATACGATTTAAAACAGGCGCCAAGGTGTTGGTACAAGAGATTTGATTCTTTCATTATTAGCCTCAGATACAACAGACTGAGTTCAGACCATTGTACGTATTACAAGAGGTTTGGTGATAATGATTTCATTATTTTGTTGTTGTATGTGGATGACATGCTAGTGGTAGGCCCCAACAAAGATCGAATCCAAGAATTGAAGGCACAATTAGTTAGGGAGTTTGATATGAAGGACTTGGGACCAGCAAACAAGATCTTAGGGATGCAAATACACCGAGACAGAAAAGATAGGAAGATTTGGCTCTCTTAAAAGAATTATCTTCGTAAAGTCTTACGGCGCTTCAATATGCAAGACTGTAAGCCAATCTCTACCCCACTTCCTGTTAGTTATAAATTATCCTCAAGTATGTGTCCTAGCAATGAAGCAGAGAGGATGAAAATGTCTCGAGTATCGTATGCATCAGCGGTGGGAAGTCTTATATATGTCATGATTTGTACTAGACCAAACATTGCATAAGCAGTGGGAGCAGTCAGTAGGTACATGGCAGATCCTGGTAGAGAGCATTGGAATGTTGTAAAGAGGATCCTTAGATACATAAAAGGAACCTCTAATGTTGCATTATGTTTTGAAGGATCAGAATTTATTGTGAAAGGCTATGTTGATTCAGATTTTGCAGGAGATCTGGATAAAAGAAAATCTACTACTGGTTATGTGTTTACACTTGCTGGAGGGGCAGTAAGCTGGTTATCTAAATTGCATACTGTTGTGGCTTTGTCTACTACAGAAGTTGAATACATGGCAGCTACTGAGGCATGCAAGGAAGCAATATGGATTCAAAGGCTATTGGAGGAACTTGGGCACAAACAGTAGACTACTACTGTGTATTGTGACAGTCAAAGTGCTTTGCATATTGCAAAGAATCCAGCCTTTCATTCCAGAACAAAGCACATAGGTATACAATACCACTTTGTTCGTGAAGTAATAGAGGAAGGTAGAGTGGACATGCAAAAGATTCACACCAAAGACAACATAGCAGACATAATGACAAAGCCAGTGAACAATGACAAGTTTACATGGTGTCGATCCTTGTATGGCCTATTAGAAACATAAGCAACATATAATTATAATGTGTGAAGATATGATTAATTTAATCATAATCTTCAAGTGGGAGAATGATAGAAGTCCCACATCGGTGGGTACTCATATTTTTGGACCTCCTTGGGCTTATAAAAGGAGGCTTAAGGGTCCCTTAACAATCATCCCAAAAAATCCTCTCTCCCACTAATTTTGTATTACACCGAGCTTGTATTTAGTAGTAGTAGTCTATTATATTGAGGAGTAAATTTTATAGTGAGGAGTGGTGTAATTTTTTCTTCCAGAAAATATTTTTTTTATTGTCTTTATTGGCTCTTATTTTTCATCTCTTATTTTAGTTGTGTGTTATTATATTGGTACTATGGTCCTAACATGCTTAGTGACCGAAAACACGTTTCAACATTTTGATTTATTGCTGCATGCAGCCCGTCATGCCACTCTTCCTCCAAACCTAAGGCTCTCTCAATATATTCTTCATTTTACTTTTCTCAATGTCACCTTCTCATCTCTAACTACCATCTTGTTTCAGCTATGGATTTTCGTTGTCTTCCAATGCTTTTCTTTCTAAATGTAAGCTTCCATGTTCATGTTGCATCCACTTTTTTCTTTGAAACTATGAAGCTACACTTCTTCATGTCATTGTCTTTACTATTAAAAGGTATATTCGTCTAATGGGTTTAGGGTGTTGACAACCCATGCTGCGTTACCTCCTCAACTTTACTGGGAAAGGATGCTTCCAAATAGCCCAATGCCGAAAGCAGTCATAGAGTTTCTAAAGCATGGTTTGTAATAAAAAAGTTTAAGGATACCTGCTTTGTAAATTTAATACTGAAAACGTATTGATATTTAGTTGTCTTTTAGTTTTACTTTTCCAATTCCAGGATAATTGACTAGGGTCGGAGTCAGTAATTTTATTTTGTAGAATCAATGACTATTCTTAAAAGTGACGCAAAAATTAAATTAATGTTCATGTATATATTTTTAGTCTTTGTTACAAATTTTTTATTTTAATTTTTCTGAAAGATTATTTTTTAGTCTTTACAATTTTTGTAAATTTTTGTAGTATCACATGTTAATTTTTTGCTATCACAAGTCAACAAGAGAAACTAAACAAAGCAAGAAGATAACTATTATACAAGTATTGAGTTAACTGAAGTCAGTGTGTGCCACTCAACAACAGCTTCAATGTTAGAAAATATGAATTAATTAATATAAGAAAGTGGGTCCAAACTTTGTTATACCAAAATGTAGGAGGATATTTGGGGCACATGAAAGAGGATACAGTTGATGACCAAAATGCTTATATAATTATGTGGGGAAAGAGTGTTGATGCTGAGAAATAGTTAGAAGATAGGTTCCTTTTCTCGGGGGATGGTGCTAAAGAGAGTTAGCCAGCTAAGAAGACTCTCTCGCAAGATAATCGTATCACTTACACCTATGACATTGAGAGCCAACCAGCCAAGAAAACCCTCTCACAAGATAATCGTTTAACTTATACCTATGACATTGAGAGCCAACCAGCTAGGAAAACCCTCTCATAAGATAATCGTTTGACATATACCTATGACACTAAGACTCAACCAGCTAAGAAAACCCTCTCACAAGATAATCGTATAAGCTATACCTATGACACTAAGAATTAACCAGCTAAAAAGACTCTCTCACAAGATAATTGTTTGACCTATACCTATGACATTGAAAGTCAACCAGCTAAGAATACCCTCTCACAAGATAATCGTGCGACTTATACCTATGACACTAAAGCGAGTCAACCAGCTAAGAAGGTCCTTCATTTAAAGACGAGGCCTGTTGCTGATCATCATCGATTAGATGATGTAAAAGTAGACCTAATTTTCTTAGAGGAAGGCCTTCGTCCTGGTACAAAGATAAATGCACACTTCTATAAGATAGATTTTACAAAACCATTATTGCCTCTCCAAGTTGCTCAACATATACCGTTCTCTTCAAAAAAGATGAAGGAAATATTGGAGATATTATCTATGAAACCTAAGTCAGAGATTGCTAAAGTTGTAGAAAGAGAGATTAGGATTTGTGAAGTGCCTCCACCGATTATAGAGGAAAAACTTTGTGCTACTTCACTTGAATCCATGGTGGATTTTGTCACTTCTAAGCTTGGGAAGAACGTTCGTGCTTTTTCTACATATGCAGAAAGGGAAGCCAAGTCACAAAATTTCTTAGTGAAAGATGGAGTGAAGAAGATAGCAGATGAAAGTGTCATTGCTTGTCATCTTATGGATTACCCATATGCTGTCTTTCTTTGTCATCATTTACAAAATACCACCGCGCATTTTATGCCTTTGGAGGGAGAAGATGGGACTAGAGTTAAAGCCATAGCTGTATGCCATAAAGACACATCATTATGGGATCCAGATAGTTTGATATTACAAGCAATCAAAATCAAGCCTGGAGATTGTCTAGTGTGTCATATCTTTCCTGAGGTTCATGTTGTGTTTACCAAGTTGATGACTTAAGTTTATGTTTCTAGCATCCTTGAATAAGTGGGCTTTTCAAAATAACATCTCTGCTCTGTAGTATAAAGGCCTACAGACTAAAACTATGATTTTTCCAAATGCAATATATCAATAAAAAAGTTATGATGATGGTTTAATGTATTGCATAGATATATTAAAAAAAATCTAACAAAATACTGTCACAATTTTAATTATTCATCAAAATTTATTGAAAATTATAAAAGTCATGCGAATTCCACTCTTTTATACTTATAATTTAATATTTTTTTCATATTTATATAATTTTTAATAAAAATATATATATTAAAAGTGTGTTATTAGCCTTTCTATAATATTGTCTTTATTGAACTTAAAAATTGATAATAGAAATGTGAATTAAAGGGGAAGACATTGACAAACACATGTATAACTAATTGTCAAATTAATTCAACTATCAATTATCCTGACTAACATAGAAATAACTTTTTAAATGAATTCAAATGGAGGACTAAATTGATGACAGAAAAGAATCTTAAAACAACTAATTTCGTAAGTAAATTTTTTGAGTATTTATTTAGTAATATATAAATTTTGAAGAATTAAATAGATGTTTTCTTTTAAATATTGCAAGAAAAAGGGCACTAGAAAGGTGATAGGTCGTCTTGACTAGATGATAGAATAAGAGAAATTTAAGTGAGGAAATAACTAGTGTTGGAAGTGTTGAAATGCCTCAATTTCATGTGTTACTTTTCTAGCCGTTCTTACTCCAAAAATCAAATTATCTTATATTTTATTTTTAATCCATATATTTAAAGTAATCAAGTTACTAAACTAATAAATGGAAAGTTTTTTACATATTTAAATTATATCATAAATGAAGACAATTAAGATATTTAAAAGTAAAAACAATCTAGACAATTAAGAACATCTATGTAATCTTTCAAAAATCTTCTACTATTAAATAAAATAAGTTCTTTTCCAAGCAAGTTTTGTGCTACGTATCACTAGAAATTATGTTTTTGACCAACATCAATGTGTATCGATGACATGGTTGCAAAATCAAAGGAAGGGAAAGCCATGTCAGTGTTAAGAAAGTTGTTTGAAAGACCAGGTATGAATTAAGATTGACCTGTTACTGATTAAATTGTTGGTATTCATTGTTAGTCGTGATGTAATTGGATAGATTTTGATAAAAAAAGAAGAAGAAGGGGATTCAAGAAATGGCAACCTCAAAAATAGAACGAGAAGTGAATAACTCCCTTATATGATTCAAAATTATTGACAGGATCATACCCAATCTAATAAATACCCGCATGCCATTTTAAAGTTTCTAAGGAAATAAGGCTCTTGTGACAGGACAGAGTTTTTAGCTAAGTTTGTCTCTTTAATCCTTAGTTATCCATTAACAATATATTTTAAAACTACTAGGAAAACGTGAAGACATTGTGAAGAAAATGCTACAATAAATTTGATACATGACAATCACAATTGTTTGCATGGACGTCAAAAAGGTTGGGACAATAAATACGAAAGTGTGCAAGATTTTTTACCAGGAGAGTGGATGACAAGATTTTTATTTTACTTAAAAGGATTAATAGAAGACCTAGAAAAAAATTTAGAAAAAAATATTATAAGAGATTTTAGGATAAATAATGTTTCAAATAATTTAGTTGTTGTATTACTCTGTTAATCTTTGGGCACCTTTTGTAGTACATATTTGATAATTCCCGTATGTCCTTGAGAATGTCTAAGTGGTAGGTGGTTCTATCTGAATACCAAATGCTTGTTTGCATTTTTGCACTCAATGATTGCATGACATTTACATTTTGCATTGACTAGAACTAGACTTTACACAAGCTACGCACTGACGCATGCTGCTAAAATTCTCAAATGTGTAGTTTGATTGACATTCAATGCTGTTGGGTTGGACTCCCAACTATATGTCTAAAAAGTCCAAATCTTCAAGCTTATTTTTTCACTTAATTGAGGGGAGTGAGAAGTCAGAAGAGTGGGTAAGAGAAGTCAAAATTGGAGTGTTTTTTCCTGCAGCATTTGGTATGATGTATTTTTGCAGAGAAACATTAAAAAGAGAGAAGGGAAGTGAGGGAAGAAAGAAGCTCCAGACCAGCTACTCCATTTCTATGATATCCGATTCATTCACTGTTGGATCGGCCTGAAAAGTTTACAGCAGGTTTGTAACACAGTGTTCTTCATTCTGACTGTTCAGATTATTATTTGGAGGTCTGAGGTTGGAGATATTGTCTTCGTACAGAAACCCTATTTTTGGTGACTCTACACAGACCAGCCGCAGAGAAATCTTTATTTCTCCTTAATTAACCGTTGGATCGAGCTAAAACTTTGACAGCCGTTCCCAGACATATGGTTATTAGTTTTGACCATTGAGATCGTCAATTTGACGTTTTTACTAAGAGAAATTGTGTCTGAATAGTAGCCCTATTTTGTGAGATATTCTCTCTTTGGTTCTTCATTGTAGGCTTTATTGCTTTGTTGATATTGGCTGGCTGTTTGCACGAATTTGTGCACTTGATTGAACACTCTTGTACTCCTTATTTAATTATAGTGGAGCTTGATTGACTGGCTTGAGCCCGTGGATTTTTACTTCTCACATTGAGAGGGTTTTCCTATGTAAATAATTCTTTGTGTCCTTGTGTTTGTTGCTTCCATTTGTTATTGTTGTTGCTCCTCACAGGTTCTTGCAAGTTTAGGGAATTGTTTTCGCTGCTTACTTTAGATAATTGTATCCTTGTGTTTGGTTTTTTCCCCATCAGAGTGGTGTCAGAGCTCTTTGGACTCTGGTTTTGGGATTATTTGACTTGCTTGAATGATGGAGGAAAATACAAAAATGGTAGCTTTGAATGGTACTAATTATCATTTGTGGAAGGACAAGATGAAAGACTTGTTGTTTGTGAAGAAATTGCATCTTCTAGTCTTTACTACTCAGAAGACGGAAAATATGTCTGATGAAGAATGGACTTTTGAGCATTAGCAGGTATGTGGTTTTATTCGGCAATTTGTAGAAGACAATGTATATAATCACATTGCTAATGAGAAACATGCTAGAACTTTGTGGGAGAAGATTGAGTCCTTATATGCTTCTAAGTCAGGGAACAATAAATTGTATTTGTTGAATTGTCTGATGAATTTGAGGTACAGGGAGAGTTCTTCCATTTCAGATCACTTGAATGAATTTCAAGGGTTCCTAGATCAATTGTCTGGAATGGGTATCAACTTTGATGATGAGGTTTTGGGATTATGGCTATTGAATACTCTACCTGAGTCTTGGGAGACATTTTGGGTTTCAATTACAAACTCAACTCCTAATGGTGTTGTTTCTTTGCAAATGGCAAAGAGTGGTGCTCCTAATGAAGAGATGAGAAGGAAGACACAGGGTTCTTCATCTCAGTCCGAGGTGTTTTTCACAGAAAATAGGGAGAGAAGTAAGAAAAAGAAACCGAAGGGTGGTAGAGAAAAGAGCAGGAGTAAGTCCAAGTCAAGATACAAGAATGTGGAGTGTTATTACTGTCACAAAACAGGGCACATCCAAAAGAACTGTTTTCTTTGGAAAAAGGAGAACAAAGGCAAGAAGGGCAAGCAGAAAGAGAAGGATCATGATGATGATGATCATGTCACTACTACTAGAGGTGATGACCTTGTTCTTCTTCGTGACTATGAGTCTGTTAATCTTGTATCTGATGAGAGCATGTAGATAGTTGATAGTGGTGCTACACTGCATGTTACACCAAGGAAGGAGTTCTTCACATCTTACACTTCTGGTGATTTTGGAGTGTTAAAGATGGGTAATGATGGTGTGTCTAAGGTGATTGGTGTTGATGATGTTTGCTTGCAAACCAACATGGGAGTGCAGTTATTACTTAGAGGAGGAGTCAAACATGCTCCTGATGTTCGTTTTAATATGATATTTGTGCCTTTGCTTGATGATTGTGGTTATGACAGTTACTTTGGTTCTGTAAAGTGGAAACTCACCAAAGGTAACTTGGTTGTGGCCAGAGGGGAGAAACATTCTAAACTGTATTGGACTAAAGCTTTGGTTGCTAAAGAGAGTGTGAATGCTATGTACATGGAGTCATCTTTGTGGCACCGAAGGCTTGGTCATATCAGTGAAAAGGGGCTTAATTGCTTAGCTAAAAGGGATGCTCTTTCGGGATTAAAGAGTGCAGAGTTGGAGAAATGTTCTCATTGCATGGCTGGTAAACAAACCAGAGTATCCTTCAAGAAGCATCCTCCCTCCAAGAAGTCAGAGTTGCTTGAATTGGTACATTCTGATGTTTGTGGCCCATTAAAGGTAAAGTCATTTAGTGGTGCACTTTACTTTGTTACTTTTATTGATGATTATTCCAGGAAGCTATGGGTCTATGTATTGCAGAGAAAAGACCAAGTGCTTGAAAAATTCAAAGAATTTCATGCTTTGGTTGAGAGGCAGTCAGGCAAGAAGTTGAAATGCATCCGTACTGACAATAGTGGTGAGTATTGTGGACCCTTTGATATTTATTGCAGGCAGCAGGGTATTAGACATGAAAAGACTCCTCCTAAAACTCCTCAGCTGAATGGTTTAGCTGAGAGGATAAACAGGACCTTGGTTGAAAGAGTTAGGTGTATGCTTTCTGAAGCAAAGTTGCCTAATCATTTCTGGGGTGAGACTTTGCTTACGGCAGTGCATGTTATTAATCTTAGTCCTGCAGTTGCTTTGAAGACTGAGGTGCCAGACAAAATTTGGCTTGGCAAGAATGTGAGCTATGATCATTTGCAAGGCCTATGTTCATGTTCCAAAGGATGAAAGATCCAAGTTGGATGCGAAGACAAGGCAATGTATTTTTATTGGTTATGGTCAGGATGAATTTGGCTGCAAGTTATATGTTTCTATTGAGAAGAAGATTGTTAGAAGCCGTGATGTGCAGTTCATAGAAGATCAAACCATTGAAGATATTGGCAAAGTGAAAAAGACTACACCCAAGAAAGATAATAATCTGACTGATGGTAATCCAATATGGTTACCTGTTCACAATCTGGATCATGCTGAGACTAATTCTCAGAATGAAGAGCAACACGATGATGTTGATGACCAGCATGTTGGAGATGGATTAGAAGTTCTTATTGATGGTGATCAAGGGGAACATGATGATGGTCTTGATGAAGCACCAGAACAACCACTAGTTCCACCCAGAAGGTCCAACAGGCCGAAACAACCATCTAAAAGGTATGATCTTAAAGATTATGTGTTGTTGACTGATGATGGAGAACCTGAGTGTTTTGAAGAGGCTATTGAGAGTGAAGAAAAGAAAAAGTGGTTGGATGCAATGCAGGATGAGATGAAATCCTTGCATGATAATCACACTTATGACTTGGTGAAGTTGTCTAAGGGCAAGAGGGCCTTAGAGAACAACGGATTTTCAAGGTGAAACAAGACAGTAATTCTACATCTCCGAGGTACAAAGTCAGATTAGTGGTGAAAGGTTTCAGACAAAGAAAGGGTGTTGATTTTAATGAGATTTTCTCACCTATGATGAAGATGTCATCCATCAAAATAGTGCTAAGTTTAGCTGCTACTTTTGATTTGGAGGTTGAACAAATGGATGTGAAGACAACTTTCCTTTATGGTAATTTGGAGGAAGAGATCTATATGAAGCAACCTGATGGTTTTCTTGTTAAAGGCAAGGAAGACTATGTGTGTAGGTTGAGAAATAGTTTATATTGTTTAAAGCAGGCTCTGAGACAATGGTACAAGAAGTTTGAGTCATTTATGCTTGATCAAGGCTACAAGAAGACTACTTCTGACCATTGTGTCTTTGTTCAGAAGTTTCCTGATGATAACTTCATTATCCTGTTATTGTATGTTGATGACATGCTTATTATTGGAAAAAATGTTTCCAGGATTGACAGGTTAAAGAAGCAACTAGGCGAGTCATTTGCCATGAAAGACATGGGAGCTACTAAAAAGATTCTTGATATAAGAAACTCGTGATAGGAAAGAGAAGAAACTTTGGCTATCACAGGAGCACTACATTGAGAAGGTGTTACAGAGATTCCAAATGAAAAATGCTAAAGCTGTGAGCACTCCTCTTGCGGCTCATTTTAAGCTGAGTGTTAAACAGAGTCCTTCAAATGAAGCTGAGAATACAGACATGAGCAGAGTTCCTTATGCATTTGTAGTGGGTAGTTTGATGTATGCAATGGTATGTACAAGACCAGATATTGCACATGTTGTTGGTACACTCAGTAGATTTCTGTCAAATCCAGGTAGAGAGTATTGGAATGATGTGAAATGGATTTTGAGGTATCTTCGTGGTACTAGTGGTTTGAGACTTTGTTTTGGAGGTGATAAACCTACTTTGGTATGTTACTCAGACTCAGATATGGCTGGAGACATTGATTCCAGGAGGTCTACTTCAGGCTATATGATTAAATTTGCAGGGGAAGCTATAACTTGGCAATCAAGGCTGCAAAAGTGTGTAGCGTTGTCTACCATAGAGGCAGAGTTCATTGCACTTACTGAAGCTTGCAAGGAATTGCTATGGGTGAAGAAATTCTTGCAGGAGCTTGGTTTTATGCAGGACAAATATTTGTTATTCTGTGACAGTCAGAGTGCTATCCATCTTGGTAAGAACTCAACTTTCCATTCTAGATCCAAACATATTGATGTGAAGTATCATTGGATATGTAATGTTTTGGATGCTAAGCTGTTGGAGTTGGCTAAAGTTCATACTGATGATAATGGTGCTGATATGATGATTAAGGCACTACCAAGAGAGAAGTTTGAGTACTGTTGTGAGATCGCCGGATTGGCGATCACCTCCACATAGTTGTGAGGGGGGAGAATTGTTGGGTTGGACTCCCAACTATGTGTCTAAAAAGTCCAAATCTTCAAGCTCATTTTTTCACTTAATTGAGGGGAGTGAGAAGTCAGAAGAGTAGGTGAGAGAATTCAAAATTGGAGTGTTTTTTCCCCTAGCATTTGGTATGGTGTATTTTTGCAGAGAAACATTAAAAAGAGAGAAGGGAAGTGAGGGAAGAAAGAAGCTCTAGACCAGCTACTCCATTTCTATGATATACGATTCGTTCACCGTTGGATCTGGCTGAAAATTTTAAGCAGATTTATAACAGAGTTTTCTTCGTTCTAACCGTTCGGATTATTATTTAGAGATCTGAGGTTGGAGATATTGTCTTCGCACAGAAGCCCTATTTTTGGTGACTCTGCACAGACCAGCCGCAGAGAAATCTTTATTTCTCCTTAATTAACCGTGGGATCGAGCTGAAACTTTGACATCCGTTCCCAAACATATGGTTATTGGTTCTGACCATTGGGATCGTCGATTATAGGTTTTTGCTAAGAGAAATTGTGTCTGAACAGTAGCCCTGTTTTGTGAGATATTCTCTCTTTGGTTCTTCATTGTAGGCTTTATTGCTTTGTTGATATTGGCTGGCTGTTTGCACGAATTTGTGCACTTGATTGAACACTCTTGTACTCCTTATTTGATTATAGTGGAGCTTGATTGACTGGCTTGAGTCTGTGGGTTTTTACTTCTCACATTGAGAGGGTTTTCCTACGTAAATAATTCTCTGTGTCCTTGTGTTTGTTGCTGCCATTTGTTATTGTTGCTGCTCCTCACAGGTTCTTGCAAGTTTGGGAAATTGTTCCTGCTGCTTACTTTAGATAATTGTATTCTTGTGTTTGGTTTTTTTCCCATCAATTGCCGCACCAACTATAAGCCAATTTTAATTATCAAACCACACTAAATGTAAGATTCCATTATTGGAGGAGGAACATTTCCAATTTGCTGCTTGATCCAAGATCTTTGTTAAGTGATTAACAATGTTATTAGGATTTGTCTGTTTAGCTTTGCTGATTTTTCCTATAAACACTAAGATTCTCTATGTGACTAGGTAAGTCGGAACTCTCAACCATAATTTAATGTAAAATTTGTTGGGATAATGTAATGAGTCTCTCGTCGAGTAGAATAAGATGCTTAATGTGGTACTTAATCCTTGAAATTCTCCTACCTAATGGACTAGTAAAAGGGTTGTTCTCTCTTCATGTGCTAAAGTCATAACAGATAGCTCATTCATCACAAGTTGTACAAAGTTGAAGTGTGGACCTGTTTGAGTTTGATAAAGAATCTTATCTGTTAAGGATTGCTAGAGCGTTAGAGCTTGCTTGAGCTCTGTAATGGTTTCTCATTTTGTCTGTTAGCCTTCAATTTGAATTTCAGTGTACAACCACAATTGCAGCTATAATATTGCTGCAATCTTTTAGTGTCGACAATTACATAGCCACTATAATTACAGTCACTGGTTTTGCTCACATGCAATTTCGATAATTGTTGCACAACTTGACTGCAACTTCAATTTAAAAACATGTTGTTATTACTTATTAGCATTATACTTGCTAAAGTAAATTTCAGTTCATCCGGAATTACCTAGAACACAAATACCATTGCAGGGGGTGTAGAACTGTGAATAAAAATCCTGCTTGTACTCCCTACAGAAGAAAATATACTTTTAACTAAATGAAATTACAACCAATCCCTAGATAAGAAAGGATATTCTAGCTAATCAAAATTACAGTCCGTCTACTAATCATTTGCCATAGTAAATAAACTCCCATATTACTGATCACGATCTACCTTACACTAACAAAAATTAAAGTAATCTGGATTAACGGATGCGTCCAGATTTTTTTATAATCTGACATGTGAAAGTATATAACTAAACTCGGTCATGTGTCAAAGGATGTGGATTTTTCTTCCTGCTCTTTCAATGCATTTGTCATCACTGCAACTTGACTCATACTAGGCCTATTATTTGGAGAAGGATTTACACATTTTAAGGCTACCTGCAACAAATTCATCATCCTCTCCTCAGAAGCACCTTGAGAGATAAAGGACTTGTCAAAAACTTCCACAGTCCATTCCTCTGCAACCACTGACTTTACCCATTTAACCAGATCAAATCCATCGTTTTTAATTACTTTCCCAGTTAGCAACTCGAGAAGTATCATACCAAAGGCATATATATCAGCTTCGAAGGTGGCTGCAATCAAATTTTTGCTTTTGATGCTTTTGTTGTGGGAAAGGACTAATTGATCTTCATTTTCAACCATCATTAGGCCATATTCGCTTATGCATGGATCCATGTTCCTGTCAAACAAAATGTTACTTGATTTTAAGTTACCATGTGCTATCCCATTCTCAAGAAGCTCATGATGCATATATGCCAATGCCTCGGCTATCTTAGCAGCAACGTTTAGTCTATTCCCCCAGTTAAACGAGTGGTCACTTTGGGATCCTGAAATCATTGAAGATGAAGACAAATATTTGCTTAGATTTATTCTTCGTGGCTACATTTCAATGCGAATTCTACTTCCACTATGTTGGTAAATGTTCTCAAGTCATAAAAAGATCTAGTGATATCCCACAAAAAGAAACTAGTACGTGTCGTATTGGAAAAACTAACTATAAACAATGTATTAGACACAGTAATTTAGATGGTAAGCAAATTGGATGTTTGATTTGAAAAGATATTTTTTGTTCATATTTTCTCTGTTTTACTTTTATTTACATTGATGTCACCTTTGTTTTTTTTCTCAAAAGTTTGTACAAGAAATTTTATATATATATATATATATATTTCTTATATTTAATTTAAAGTTTTTATTTAATTTATATTTAACAATAAGTGAAGTAATAAATTATAACTTATTAAATATAAGTTAAATAAAAAATTTAAATCTAAGTATAAGAGTTTTTAAACTTATAATAGTGTAAAAAATCCTCTCTTATCTATATATATAAATTTTAAAAAATAAGAAATAAGATAAAAAAATAAAATAACATTTTATATTTAAAAATAAAAAAGAAATAAATATTTTCTCAGGTTAAATAGAATATGTAAGTAGATGCCTGTGTAAGCATTAGTGTGTCAAACAAGGGCAAGCTCATTACTTAGTATGTCAAATGGATGTTATGACACCTTACCGTAGAGTAAGGTGAAGAGACTGCCATTTTGCAGATATTCATACGCTAGGAGCTTCTCTTGTTGAGAGCAATAATATGCAACAGGTGGCAACACGCGTGGATGCTTCACTTGGGCTATGATGTTCATCCTTCTCTCAAAATCTTGCTTTGAAATTCCCCAATCCTTGATCCTCTTCACTGCCAATAACACCCCATTTTCGAGCATAACCTTGTAGAGGCTTCCATGCTTCCCTCTCCTAACCAACTCAGCAGGAGCACTAAGCAAGTCCTCAAATTGCAAGCCTCTGAGCGTTCTACTTGAAAGAAGAACAAGGCCTGATGTTGTGACCCTACTTTCCAAAGATGTCAGAGAATACTCAGATCTAATCCCAATACAATTCTTTGATCCATTGGAACTAGAAATTTCATTAGGCTTGTCACCGCTAGTATCATGTGTCACTTCCTTCTTTTCCACATCCAATGTTTTATCTTTGGTCTTGAATTTACTTAACAATTTGAAGGCCAAAAAAAGCAGGAGAATTAAACCAAGAACTAAGTAACCTAGATAAATGGACAAATCATTAGGGAATGTTTTTTTGTCCTTCTTTTCAGATGGTGGACATGTGTTTGAGAGTGGCGTTCCACATAAATTAGGATTACCCAAAAAACTTTCTGCATAGAATTTGCCTTTGACGTCAGGGACTGGACCTTGTAAATTGTTGTTGGAGACATTAAACGATTCAAGATTGGAGAAGTCAAAATCAGGAATCTCCCCAGTGAAGTTGTTGTTGTCAGCTAAAAAGGATATCAAACCTGAAACATTAACCATGTTAGGAAGCTCACCAGTGAAGTGGTTGTCAGAAATGTGAAGCCGCTTCAAGTTACCTAGTTTTCCAACAGAAATAGGAAGGTCACCAGAGAATTGATTCCCACTTAGGTACAAGTGAGTCAAGAACTTGCAGTTTCCTATATCCTCTGATATCATATCATGTAAAATGTTATTCCTAAGGCTCAAGATTTGAAGAGATTTTGGTATGCAAAGAGAACTGGGGTCCACAACACCACCAAAATTGAAATTCTCAAGAATTATACCCTTCACGTGTTTGTTGTCTGAATTGCAACTCACACCATACCACTTATCAATGCAGGGATCTGATGTAAGGTTCCAACCCCACTTAGGGTCTCTTGGTACATTCCCTGGTGCCAATTTATTCATGAACGTGACTAAGGCCTTGATCACCTCTTCTTCCTCTGAATTGGCCACTAGGAAAAACAAAAAGATGACAATAAAGAGTACCCAGATGGGTTTTAGACTCATTTTTGCAACAGGAATATTTGGTGGTATAATTTGGTTGCAATGTCTACTCGATAGTGAGTTAGATAATCAAAATAGTTAAATTAGTTGAACTTTATTATAATCAATAAAGGGCAACGTTTACTTAAAAGTTAAAGCCATCACATCACATTACATTGCCAAATGGTCGATACCATAGAATTATAACAATCACTCTTAGTAATATTCTGGATGAAATGGACATTGGGAACCCTTGGATATGAGCCAAAGGGCAGAAAGTAACAACACCAGCTTTAGCTGCCGGCGTTTTGAAATGGTCACTGTATCACGCGGTGAGTGTCTCTATCACGTCTTTCTCAACTGATTTCTCTCCCTTTTGCAATCACTTTGGGAGGCTTTTACTAAGAATTTTTTATGGATGGCATTGCTTGGCTTGCTTGCTAACATTAGTACATAATAGGTGTAGCATTTGCTAGATGCTTCCTCAAGCCTTCCACATCAACATTTGGATTACATGTAGTTATTGTTAACTAGCTCATTAAAAGGTAACTGGGATTGGAGTTACCATAATAACAATTGTCTCTTGTCTTATTAATGGTATATTGTCTATATTGATCATTCAGCATTATTGAACTTTAAAATTAACATAAAATATTCCCTTTGCAAATTTATTCACATATTTTCAAATTTTAATAAAAACTAAAATAAAATTTGAAGATAATATAATTTCATTGTTTACTAAGCTAGTATTTTTTTTGGTTCTGGATATCCTTAAAATTAATTAATTTTTAAATAAATAATTAAAATACTTTATATGATTATTTTTTAAATTAATAAAAAATATAAATTTAAAATAAGTAACATTCTATTAAATTAAATAAAATTTAAATTAATAGTAAATTAAAAAATAAATACATAATATAGAAATAATCATTTGGCATCTTAAAAAAAATAATTCTTAAAAATAATTTTAAAAATGTTTGTGTTTAGAAATACATATTTAAATACTTCCGTCCGATAATAAATACTCACAACTTATATATTATTACATAGAAGTTGAATACAGAGGTTGATATATAAGCTTTTCTGATTATACGAGTTTGGTACGTAGTTCAGTTAAATGTTTGATCAAAGTGGACTGTGAGAATGGAATCTTAATAATTTTGTTTGTATTTTGTAAAATAAAAGTATTGAAACTTTGATAATTTTGGCTGGCTAAGTTAACTTTAAAGTGTTAAGGTAAACCATTTAGCTGTGAAATTTCAATATTAAAGAAAATTGTGCTTAAATGTATGTTATTGCTTAGCTTGCCTTCTAGCAGTAGCAAATAATCATAAATGAGTGTCGCTTTTTTCCCAATGATTAGTCATAGTCATAGTTATAGTTATACACAGTTATTAGATGCGCAAAACTAGTTGAGCAATTTGGAACATTATTTTGGATGAGCTTGATTTGCAAAATTAATTTTATTTAAAAATAAATTTGAAAACCATGTTCAGAAGCCCCAAACACACATTGAAAGCTCATCAATACATATCCAAATAGCATAGATGCTTCTGCTTCATGCTATCCACATTCAATGTGTAAGTTGCAAATTTAATGATTCAAAAATTATATTTAGATAGCTATATATTAAAGTGATTTTGAGAAAATAAAATTATTTCGATTATATAACTTAAAATAACTTTTAGATGTATTATAATATTATATTATTCCTTTATTTCATTTTACTGTTTTTATTTTTTATTATATTATTTAAAAACATACGGGGCGTAAAATATCAAACTCAAATCTATACAACATGATCCAGGGCGCAGAAGGCAGGCTTGAATGAAAGAGCAGGGCGAAAGTTAAATGGGTAGTTAAGAGTGTTGGGAAATCATCAGTTGTCTTAAAAAAAATAAAAAATAAAAAATCCTTGTAATGGATAGGAGAATTATATGTTAAATTTTAATAGATTTGAGTTTAAATAATTATTAAAAAATTAATGGAGATGAATAGGATATGAGTAACTTAAGGCCTTTTTTATTTTTAAATTTTAAAAATTATATTTTAAAATAATTTTAAAATTTGTTTTTGAAAAAAAAATTATATTAACAAACATTTTTTATTAAATAAAAATTTAAAAATAGAAAACAAATAAACTTTAAGATAAAACAAATAATTTTTAGTATCTAATTCGTTCAGTATCCTTATTTTCTTAAATATAAAAAGTTAAAATCAAATTTATTAAAATTATATGTATAAAATTGCATATGTTTATTATTGTAATTCTAATTCGATATCATTTAACATAGATTTAAAAGGAAACATGTGTCTTAATGCTACCATTTTTAAATGTATTGGTTGGTTAAGAAACTTAAAATTATAATATATAAAGTATTCTAATTTTAACTGTAATAAACAAAAGTACTAAGCATTTCACTCAAACTTTTCATTGAACATATTGTGTGGAGCAGTAAAGGTTGAAAAACAAACAACATACACTACTAGAAAAATGCTATTTACAGTTGTAATACAGACAAATTTACAGACAGATCTGTGATTTTTTTATTTTTTAATTTCTGAAAAATCCGTTTGTAAATCTGTCTATATTACAGACGGATATAATATTGGTCTGTAGTTTGTCCGCCATTTGGCGTGAAACTATATAGACAGGAATTACAAACAAATTTTTTCGTCCGTAATTTGAAAATTGGAGGGAAATTGGAAGCGGGAGTTACAAACAAATTTTTTCATCTGTAAATATTATCCCTTTTAAGCGACTTTTCATGTGGCTATTTACAGACGAATTTTTCCGTCTGTAAATGGACTTGACAAATTTACAGACGAAAAAATCTGTCTATAAATGGACCTTTAAAACACACTGTTTCATTAAACTATTTATAGACGGATTTTTCCGTTTGTAATATCTGAAACCCACAAAACCGCGTCTCCCCCTTCCCCTTCCTCATTTTTCATAAATCTCTTTTTCTCTCTCGCCTCTCTCTGTCTCTCTCTCTAGGAGCTCAGTTTTTTGACCTTTGCGAGTGATTGGAGCATCTTTTTGAAAGATAATTTGCATCATTGTATTCCTAGTACGATACTCTAACTTTTAATCGGTTTAGTTTTTTTATTTTTGATGTATTTTAGAGACTTAAAATTTCTAAGATAGAGTTGTAGGATTGGAGATTGTATGACTGGGGGGAAGGGCGTAAAGGTCCTTCTCTGAACCTGATTATTGTGTGTTGTGGGATTCTTTGTGTTTGCGGAGTTTGTAGAATATGCATCTTGTGGAGTTATAAGGAGATGTGCTCTAGAACGGTTTAGAATTGTAATGTGTATATTTTTGATGCATTGATTAATAGATTGTTACATAATATATAGATTATGTGTAAAGAAAAGTTAAATTTTTATATTAAGTACGTGTAAACAAATGTAAGGAAATATTCATATATTAAGAGATATTCTGCCAAAATTTACATTAGAATTTTATTGTATTAAGTGTAAACAAATAAAAGAAAATATTCATATATTACAGGAGATTCTGCCAAAATTTATACTAGAAATTTGTTGTATTAAGTGTAAACAAATATAGGAAAATATTCATATATTAGGAGAGATTTTGCCAAAATTTACATTAGAAATTTGTGTAATGTGTAATAAAAGGTTGATACAATATTATGTATTTGTGTATTTGGTCTCTAAACATGTATTATATTTGATTCAGATATGACAGGTAAAGATAAAAAAAGTGTTGCTCAGCATTCTAATTGTGGCAACACTCCTTCATCCACTACTCCTACTTCCACCTCCACACCAGCTACTATGCAAACCTCACAGGATAGGGGACAGTAACGCCTTGAATTTTGTTATATTAATCAATTATTGTTATTTATATAAATCTAAATTCATATATTTGTATGTATTTTTGGATATATGTTATGGAAATGTGTATATATATATGTGTATGTATGATTGGTTGAGCTGAAAATAGGTTAAGTGCCTAAGTGCAGGGTGTAATTCTAGGCTGTCCTCGCTGCAGCGAGAGGGCCCTGGGAGGAAGGACCAAAACTATCGCCTTCTCGCTGTAGCGATAAACGTCACGCTATAGCCACAGTTTGGGATGCATTTCTGGGTGCAGTCTCGCTACAGCGAGAGGGTCTCGCTGTAGCGAGATTCTACAAAAACTAGGGTACAATTTCGTCTGAGATTTTCGCTGTAGCATGAGGGCGTGTCTCTGCAGCAGCGAGATTGTCGTGACCATAAGGGATTTAAAGGGGTTAAGGTTCAGGGAGATTTCATTTCTCCCTTCTCCTTCAAAATTCCTCTAATCCCTTCACTCCCAAACCTCATTCTACCGATTACACTGCCTCCAAAGCCATTCAGGAGTTTAATTGAAGGTTAAATCCATGTGCAGAACGCTTGGAGGTGAGTTTTAATGGTTAAGGTTTCGCTTCTCATCTCCTTTTTTTTTGTTTCCTTGGGTTTTCATGGAGTTTCTCCATGTATTTAGGACAAAATCCGTGAGGGGGAGCACTTCTTGTGGATTTAGCGTGTGGGTCTTTAATTTGAGGTAAGGGGGACTCTACCTTACTCTTTTTATGTGTAATTGATTGAATATGGAGTTGTGGCTGAGTTAGAAGGTAGAAAGCATGTAGAGAATGAAAGTTGATTGAGAAATGTAATGTGGGCCATGTGCATTGATATGTGAACATTGTGTGTGTTACCCGAAAGGGATGAATGGGAATTGTATGCTAGATGTTGCATGATAGAATGAATATTGTGAATAAATGTGGGCCCGAGGGCCGTGTAATATAACTGAATATTAGCAATGTGCCATGTAATGTGAAATGAATGTGGGCCTAGTGCCATGTATTTGAATGTAATGTGGGCTGTGTACCGTGTGTAAGCATGATCATCACATGCGTGAATGGAATATGTGTGAATAGGCGTGTTAGCGCTATTGTAATGTGCTGTGAATGGTTCAGTGATACACTGGGGGTGTGGAAGATGAGGACGGTAGAAATACCTTGGGAAAAAGGGAGTGGTGGTAATACCGACTGTGGAACGAGTGCACCACGGGCCACACACTTTCTTCCTGACTAGACCTCTCACCACTACCTTTGTTAAGCAACCCGTGACTGCCCACGTGGTATCCGTGAGGCGGGGGTAACCAGCAACCATTCATGGTGTAAATCTGTGATCATAGTACCACAATGAGCGTGGCTGGCGTGCATGTGCACGGGTTTGTTATTAACTGTAATTTTGAATGTAAAGTGTTGTCGGTGCCGTGAGTGCAGTGATATTCAATTGAAATGTGCTGGATAATGATGTTGTTTGTGTTATATCTGTATAAATGCATTGGAAATGAATTTAGAGGTGAGGCTCTACAGTTGATTGTGTTTTGGTAGTGTAGAGTACTCACCCTTACATTTATTTTTCAGGTAATCAAGACGATAAGCGCCAAACTCAGTAAAAGTGTGGATGGAACTACTATAGGACTTAGGATTTTATTTTGAGAACTGTTGTATTTGAATAAGTCTTGTAGCAACTGTTTGATGTAATTTGTAACCCCTTTCTTTATTTTGAACTGTTTGACGAAACTTGGATTAAAAATGAAAGTTTTACTATTTCAAATTTTTCAAAATTTCTTATTTATTGAAGTTAAATTTAAGGTGTTACAAAAAGCAGTTTATCATGGTGCCTAACCCTGGATATGTTGCTCCTCCCCCTTCACTGTCGACTACAAATGCCACACAACCTCCTTCTACACAGGGCATAGGTGAGGGATCCACTGTTGTCCTAGCTGTAAGTGAGTAACAATCATCACAGACCCAGGCATCATCAAGATCACTTCCAACTTTAAGATGGATTGGATCTACTTGGTAAGTTAAATTTAAAATATGAATAATAACTCTATTTGATGTGAATGTTATAATAATTGTATTATTTTATTGTGCGTTAAGTTGGATTCTACTGCAGAATGGTCTCCACGAGGTCACAAATACCATTAAGAAGATGTTTGATGCGTCTTACACAAGTTTTGTAAAGGTGCCTAAGGATACAAAGATGGAATGGTTCAAAGACTGGAAGGTAATAACAGTTAATTAATTTCAACTAAGTGTAATTAGATATTATTTCTTGTAATTCTTCTAATGAAATTGTATTTATGTAGAGCAACTTCTTCATTCTCCCCCAGGATGAAAAGATGATTTTCAAGGCATAGAAGAGTCGCACTGCAAAGCGACTAAGACAAATGTACACTAAGGCCTGTTAGGATCCATCATCTGTTGATTGGATAGCACCCAACTTCCTTCATGTCTTGCAAGAGTATTAGGGTACGGATGAGTTTAAAAATCTCTCTGTAAAGAACAGGACAAACAAGGCATTCTTAAAATGAGGATCATTGCATACTAGTGGTTCTACGACTTTAGCTGGCACTAAAGCGAACTCGGTATGTGATTTTTAAGATTCTTTTAATTATTTTTTTTAATCTATAATTGATATTTGAGATGGTGATTTAATTGAAATTGAAGGAAAAGTCATTGAAGAGACCACCTACACATGGAGAGGTATTCAAGGAGACACATACTCGCAAAGGAGATAAAACCTTGTGGGTTGATACACGATCTTAAGCCACATATGTAAGTCATTCTTATCGACACTATATGTTATTATTAATGATTTATCAAATAATTTTTGAGACTAATATATAATTATCTGCATTGAACTACAGGATGACTATGTTCAAAGGCTTGAGGAGACATCTTCTCAGGATCTAGAGTCAGTTGATGAGGATACTATATGGTCAGAGATGGTGGGTGGCCTTTATAAAGGCCGCATTTACAACATAGGGAGCCGCTTTGCATACTCCATGTCCCCTGCATCTGTCACCGGAGATGCCCCTTCTCTTGTACCTGAGGAAGTGGAGGACATGGTCCGCACTTAGGTCCATGCCCTGAATGAAAAACTGTAGAAGCAAAATGAGGAGATGTGGAAGACCAAGGAAAGTGCATGGAAGAAGAAGTGGGTAAAGAAAATGGAGAAGAAGATAGGGAAGAAGGTGGCATCGAGGATGCAAAGGGAGGTGCAGCAACAGATGCAGCGGCAGCATATGCAGATGCAGCAGATGCATGCATACTTTGAGGTCATGAGAGCAAGCACCTCTACACCTCTTTCTCCTCCTCCACCAGCTCCAACACCATCAATCTTCAGCACCATGTGTCATTCCTTCTCGGACTCCTCCTCTACTAATGACAATACTTTTTTGGAAGATGATCATACCAATTATTAGTGATATACAATGTTATTTTATTTTTGGTATTATTTTTTTAGATGTTTACTTCTTCATTTGTAATGACATTTTAATTTTACATTTTATAAATAATTTTTTATTTAAATATATAATTTTGTAGTTTTTATTATGTTTATAAATTGTGATAATTAGGAACAGGGAGGAATAATTATGTTTATAAAAAAATGAAATAATTTTTAAAAAATTTCATAAATGAATTACAAACAGATTTTTTCGTCTATAAATTACAGAAGGATTTTTCTAACTGTAATTACTTATGCGCATATTATAGATGGACTATAACCGTCTATAAATACGTCTGTAATGCTAAAATTCATCTGTAATAATAAAAAAATCTGTCTGTAAATCCGTTTATATTTGCAGAGTTTCTAGTAGTGATATTTATAATGTACATAATTCAAAATACACAAAAGTTGCAAGGTAAAAGAAACAACAAAATAAAGACTCTTCATTTAGTAAGGTCGCATGTGAAAACACAATTTTATGACATATTCGATGTAAGAAAAATGGTATATACTAACTTGAAATGTTGATTAACTTTTCTTGAACCTAGCAAAGAAGTGTGTATTTCAATGGTAAAAAATGATGCCAAGATAATAAAAAATAAAAGAACATTTTGCTCATATCAATGACATTCTCATATTTTATACAAGTATAGAAATAAAATATTGTGAAAATACAAAGAACAAAGAGCAATTTCTGTATCAATGACGAGCCTTAAACAGGATTGACGAGAAGACATGGTTGTGGCAAATATTCTATGGCTTGAGCGAGAAAGAAATGGAAATCATAAAGTGTTTTGTGTATAGGACGCAAGAAAAGTAATTGTTTGAAAGTGGTAAAATGCACTAATAAACACTTTTCTAGATCATGTGCAAAGTACTGTCAAATGGATAATCCATACAAATATATTGTTATGGAACCAAGTCATGGTAATGAACCAGAGTTATTATAAATATGTTTCATCTCTTTCACTCTTTCTCCAAAGTCTTCCCTATATATGTGTATGTGTGTGTGTGTGTTATATAGAATGAAGTAAAATTATAAAGAGCAAATGAGAAAATAGACAGAACAATATAGAGAGAAAGAGAAAATTTCAATTTCATTTCACATACCATCAATACAAATGAGATACTTATTTATAGGCCTAAATCTACAATCGAAGAATCTCATATCTTTAAATGAAAATTAAACAAAATAGTTACAAAAAAATGAGGAGTTATGAATATGGACATTCATTCATAATAATTCATAATACAAATGAGAATATGTTTCATAACATCTAGGAAAAACCTAATAGGATAAAAACCTTTTCAGGAAATCAGGATGACGATGTCCCAAGAGATGATTAAATTAATAGATAGTTCAGCGTAATGTAGGTTAAATTATATATTTAACGAGTATCATAGAACGTGTTATTTTAAGTTAGTTGTACATATTGATGACATACCCCATAATATTATTATGTTGGAAATGGAACTATGTTATAGTGTGCCTTTATATTTCCATGTAAACAATAGGATCCACCATACCTTATGTATATGTATTTATAAAGGTAAGGTTAGGACTCCAACAGCTGGACCTACCTATGCACGTACCATGATCATGACCTTTTTGGGAGGCCGACCTGGGTCACTTTCAAGCGGATTTCGGATGTGGAAGTTATTGCAGAGTCTAGAGATCTCTATATCAAATTAGATGAGGATCTCAATTCTGAAGACTTTACAGAGATAGAGGGATGACATGGGGATGACATAGGGATGACTAGTATCGTCTTCAGTCTTTTAGTTAATAGACTGCCCATTAGAACTTATCATATTTTGTATTTTGTAAATGATGATGATGAGTTCTAAGGTATTTTGAAGTGATATTTTGTAAATATTAAACTCTTGTGACTTAATGAGAGTAATGTACATTAATGTTATTTTAACTTTTCGCTTAAATTTGTTTAATTTCCATTCCTTATTATTTAATTTTTTATAAGTATAAGTAAATTAAATAAAGGTTTTATATTTCCATACTTCGTATTTGTAAGTAAACAAACTTAATTTAATTTTTCCTTTTCAATTCTAAAATTATTTTTCATTACTATATTAAATAAAATAAGGATGTTACAGGTGTGACAGGTGAGGCACATACTTCCCATAATGGAAGGTCTGGTTGAGAGATGTTTGGAGTCATCATGCCTTTTTGAGAGGAGCGACTTCATCATGCAACAGTCTCAACCTTCCCAATCTAGAGGAATGACTTCATTAGCTTCCAGACTAGTGGAGACCACCATCTCTACTCTCCAACCTAGAAGAGCAAGTGCATTATCTTTTAGAACCCTAGCCCTTATGACAGTCAGATGCTTTAGATGTGGATGACCATATTATTTGAATCAGTGTCCTCAAGTTGATAATAGTATTTGTTTTTCATGCTAGCAGTCAAGACATCTTGCTAAGGATTGCTCTCTGCTTCTCGGAGTGGAGCAACGTCGTTCACAGCTAGTGCATTACATGTCGTGAAACCCAGAGCAGTTAGGGCCCAACAAATGACAAGTCCTAGAGTAGAGGCACATATATTTACTACTTCTAGAATAGAGGCTGCTCGGGCTATATATCTTATTCAAGGGACATAAGTAGTGGCAGGTACATCTTTTTTCGTGCTTTTTTATTTTGGAGTCACACACTCCTTCATTGCAGATATATATGTGAAAAATTTAGGATTGCCAGTGAGTGACTTGAGATGAGATTCGGTGGTGACGACACCTACTTTGAATTCGGTAACAATCTTAATAGTTTGTGTTAGATGTCCCATAGTAGTTAATGGATGAGAGTATAGGGTTAATCTCATTAGTATCCCCTATGTCAGGCTTGGATGTAATCTTAGACATAGATTGGTTGACTTCCAATTATGTCCTGATTGATTGTGCACAACAATGTTTGATTTTTCTCGAGCTGCAAGGTTAACGGGAGTGATTTCTACATGCTAAGTGGAGACATCTCTTGGTGAGGAAGGTCCATGCTTCATTCTTTTAGCTTTTATGGATGCAGAGCGGGAGCAAGAGCATTAGTCGATAATAATGGTGCGAGACTCTCCCGAAGTCTTTCTGGATGATGTTCCTAGGATACCTCCACCTAAGAAAATAAAGTTTCGTATAGACTTAGTTCCCATAGTTGAACCAATATTAGTAGCACCCTATCGATGGTGCCAAGAGAATTAATGGAACTTAAGGATCATAATGTTAGGATCTAATGTAGAAAAAGATGCTTAGACCGAGTGTATCACCTTAGGGAGCGTTAGTTCTTCTAGTGAAGAAGAAAGACAAAAATTCTAGACTTTATGTTGATTACTGTTAGCTGAATAAGTTAACCATCAAGAATAAATACACATTGCCATGGATTCATGACTTGATGGACAAACTGAGAGATGCTAAGGTGTTCTCTAAAATTGACTTAAAATCTGAATATCATCATATTCGAGTTAGAAACGAGGATATTCCAAGGACATCTTTTCATACTCGGTATGGTCATTATGAGTATGTATTGATGCCTTTTGGAGTCACTAATGCCACAGCTATATTCATGGACTACATGAATCAGATCTTTTGATCTTTTTTGGATCAATTTGTGGTAGTCTTTATTGATGATATCCTGATCTATTCAAGTTCAACGGAGGAGCATGATGAACATTTGAAGATTATTCTAGGGATTTTGAAGGAAAGGCAGTTGTATGCCAAATTGTCTTAGTGTGAATTTTAACTTGAAGAGGTGAAGTTCCTTGATCATGTAATCTTAGCTGGAGGAATTACAATTGATCCTTTAAAGGTAAAGTCTGTGTTACAATGGGATAGGCCGAAAATAGTCATGAAATTCATAGTTTTGTGAGCTTGGCAAGCTATTATCGGAGGTTTATAGAAGGATTTGCAAAGATTTGTTTTCTTTTTACACGGTTAACTCGCTAAGATCAACCCTTCGTATAGACAGAAGACTGTGAACATAGCTTCAATGAGTTGAAGTAGAGGCTAACATCTTCTCCAATATTGGTTCTCCCTGATACCAGTTGACCTTTTCAAGTGTATTGTAATGCTTCGCACCAAGGTCTGAGATGTGTATTAATGCAAGCCAAAAGAGTAGTGGCGTATGCGTCATGCCAGTTATGAACCCATGAGCGAAATTATCCTACTTGTAACCTTAAGCTAGCTGCAGTAATCTTTGCTCTAAAGATTTGGAGGCACTCTTTCTATAGGGCACAATGTGATGTATTTAGTGATCACAAAAGCTTGAAGTATTTGTTTGATCAACGAGAATTGAACATGAGGCAAAGGTGATGAATCTATATTTTATAGATATTTTGTTTATCTTTTTATAGATTTTTTAATAGAAAAATGAACCTAGAAATTATAAATAGTATAAAAATTTTATTAAGGTCAATTATCATAGTTTTTTTAATTTTTATTTAATTTACACTGATTTTTGTAAATATATTTTACAATTTTGATCACTTTAATAATTATGCAGGAATTTCTAGATAAATTCTATAAATTTTTGACTCTTGGGAAAATGTAAAGTGAAAGTAACTATTTTTAGGCCCCACAGTGATCACTATAGCAAGCCACTTCTAAGGGACAGGCCCAAGTAACTACTTTTAAAAGCAATAGTAATCACTACATAGCCAAAGGAAAGGTGCAAACTTGCGTGTGTTCACTATCACTGATAATAGTGAACACTTCAAAGAACTCTAAATGATACACTGATCTTTTCTCTAGTGAATGAATTTTTAAAAATGAAAATTTATTTTTGGGGGGAGAATTATCAGCCCTATATTATATGTATACATATTTCCTTTAAAAATTATGATGTAATCATTTAACCATAATACCTTTATATTTTGAAAATGATGTTGTATGTTAATAACGGTATGAAATGCTTACCACATACTGTGAACCTTAAATGTTGAAATAAATAGATAAGTGCTGGTATTTTATGCCGATTATAGCTGTGGTAAGAATTTCAAGTGCTAATGCTGGCTGACTAAATACATAAAGTTGTGCCGCTAAGACTAAACAAAAATATATAGCTATATTGTTGAGACTGAGTATATATATATATATATATATATATATATATATATATATATATTGTTGTGTTGCATCATGCTGATTTTTATAATTCTAGAGTAGAATTACATGTTTAGGTGGTTAGCCATGTAATGATAAAAAATGTTGAGTTGTGCTGTGTTTGGATCTAAAGATAGATCTTTCCCAAACTGAAAACAGTTCCCTTTGGATTACTTAAGTTATAAAACTAGTTGGAACTGAAATATTGCATTCGCATTAGATGGGCTGGGAATGGGCTAAATTGTTGTATTGGCTTGCTGAAGATTGATGATATAATAAGTTGTATAGATATGTACTTTGATAATTGTACTAATATTATGATTATGACTGTTTTATGGATAAGCTCACCCTTGTACTTGTCTATGTTGGAGTGTGTGAGTGTTGCAATGATCGCACGATGTACGTGTGTAGGTGTGATAAGTGAGGCACCTACTTCCCACGCTGGAAGGTCTTACTGAGGAATGTTTGGAGTCATCATACCTTTTTAAGAAGATTGTAGCTTCATTTATTTTGTTAGTCGAGATAAGTACATGATAATTGTATTAATATTATGATTATAATTGTTTTATGGATAAGCTCGCCCTTGCACTTTTATGTGATAAGCTCACCCTTTCACTTTTATGTGTTGGTGTGTGTGAGTGTTGCGTTGATCGTACGATGTACGTGAGCAGGTGTGACAAGTGAGGCACCTACTTCCCATGCTGAAAGATCTTGCTGAGGGATGTTTGGAGTCATCATGCCTTTTTGGGAGGATTGTAGCTTCATTTATTTTGTTAGTCTAGAAAAGTACATGATAATTGTATTAATATTATGATTATGATTGTTTTATGGATAAGTTCACCCTTGCACTTGTCTGAGTTGGCGTGTGTGAATGATACAATGATCGTACGGTGTACGTGAGCAGGTGTGACAAGTGAGATACCTACTTCCCATGTTGGAAGGTCTTACTGAGGGATGTTTGGAGTCATCATGCCTTTTTGGGAGAATTTTAGCTTCATTTAGTTTATTAGTCTAGACTATTTAGCTACAAAGGTCTTAGTAGTTGGTTTAGACTATTTAGCTACAATTTTCTAAGAAATATGCTTTTGATTATGATTTGTATTTTTGAAGCTCCATGCCGAGCAACCCTAGTGTAAATATTGTTAAGGGATGATTATATATATATATATATATATATATATCCAAATTTTATTTTGAGACCTCATTGGATGATTAAATTTCAATTTTCCGTATTTCGTTATTTTATAAGGGGTAAATTGTATTACTATGTCATGGATTCTTTTTGAAAAGGCGTCGTGACAAATTCTGGATTGTATATGAACCTATGCAAAAGGGAATTAAGGGAATCTGAATTCAACCTACATTTCCAATCAATTTATAAACCATCTTTTGTTTTCGCAGTTTTCTTTACTCTACAATTCAATATAGTTTTATAACCAATTTTTTGCACATTATTATTACTATGTGTTAATCAAACTTGATTGTTCATGATTCATTACATTTTTGCACAGAAATTGATTTTTCCCTAATTTTTCATACTATTTTATTTTTAACTAGCAGAATTCATACGAAGTGATAATTGAATTATTAATCTCAGTGGACAATTTTTTGTTATTACATTGTGATTTGGTGCACTTGCCAAATTGTTTATCAATGAACCAAGCAATAATAAGTAGGGGGAAAAAATTAGTAGAATGGTTCACTGTTAATAGAGAAAAAAAGAAAAAAAGAGAGAATGGAGAGAACTGTGGAAAGGTACGTATGGATATGAAAGAGACTAACTTTGTTAGAACAAAGAAGATGAATATTTTCATAAAATGTGAGTTGAGCGTGTTTCATTTATAAAACAAAATATGCTATACATTTTAAATTTTTAATTTGTAAGAAGGAAATACTTTAGCTAGTGGTTCTCTATTGCTGGCTTTCCAAATGCAACTTTGGAGAGTGGTTCTCTGCTAACTATTTTCTTAGTGAATTATAAGGTGAAATTTAACGTAGTGTTAGCTTAAACATAGGAGTTGGGATTTCAAGTAAGGGAAACTCAATAGAATCCGATTTAATCAGGATCCGAACTTTGGAGAGTGGTTTTCTACTAACTATTTTCTTAGTGAATTATAAGGTGAAATTTAGCGTAGTGTTGCTTAAACATAGGAGTTGGGATTTCAAGTATGGGAAACTCAATGGAATCCGATTTAATCAGGATCCGACCTGGGACACGCGCACCTAAATGTGATGGGTGGGTCTACCATTGAAATTTTTTTATATATACAAGGACTCAAACCTGAAAACTTGCTTAAACAATATTGAACTGTTTGCGACTCTAACCAACCTCCATTAGTAAATATACTTAAATATTTAAAACATGAATGTGAATGAGGGCATAATTAAAAAATAATTAATAATATTATTTTAATGTTTTAAATAAATAGATAAATAAAAAAATTCTTTAATAGTATATAGATAAATAAAATAAAATAATTACTTGTACTTACTTCTTTTAAAGTACAATTCATTACTTTGTGTATAAAATATAATATTTTGAGTTTTTTTTGACAAAAACCGCTTTTCTTAAGTATTTATTAAAATTATATTAAAATAAAATTATTTTGCTACTTCAATAATGTTGTTTTTAAAAAAGAAATTCACATAGTACCTAAATGATACATACTGGATGTTTGGAAAACGGCTCCTGTAAAGTGCAATTTGTACTTTAGAGAAGAAAGTCAATCTTAACCTTTTATAAGAATTGCTCATAGATAATAAATATAACTTATATATTTATTAATTAAAAAATTGATTTAAAATAACTCTCAAAACAGTGATATATAATGTCCTACCTTTATGTAGGAAAAACATTTTATGGTGTTATCGTAATAAATGGAGATGTTTTTATTTTCATTATTTTTAAACAATAATTTTTTATTTTTCTATTTTTTAAAAATAAAATAAATGAAGATATTTTAACTATCTAAGAAAAATAACTTTCATGGTTAAAATAATTTTTACTTTTCTTTCTAATTTAAATTAATAATATAATAATTATTTAAGAGAATAAAAAATGAAAATAATTTTTACATACACGAATAAATATGACAGGTTCAAAAAATTATAAAATCACATTTATAAAAAAAAAAATTGTAGGTCAATATTTAATTCCAACTAAGGAAAAAGAAAAATAACGGGAAAGTAACCAATAATCAATTACAAGAAAAAAGTTAAACACTAAGTTACAAAAATATTCATTCATTGTTTATTATAAAAGTTATTAGAATTTAAAAAATAGATAATTTGTAGCTATTTATCATTTGAATCTTTAAGTCCAAGTTCATCCCAAATGCACTTGTGTAATCAAAGAAAAAATAAATATAATTTATCCTACTAAAAATCTAATACATTCAATATATTAATATTTTTTAACAATATATTTATCATGCAAAATATTCTCCAACAAATATAATTTATTTTTATTAACCTGATGCACCTTTTCTATTC